AAAAAATCATTGGATCATTAATTTTAAAGTATTCAACTCAATAATTTTGGTTTTGACATTTTGATATAATATTGGATAATTGGTAAATTTGTGAACTTCTAAACGTGTAGACAATAACAATTATGTATATTTCGTCATAATATAACATATTTTTAATGTGCATATCGTCGCACATTAATGTGCATTTCACGTAATTGTAAATGTACATTTTATTTATAGTTATCGTATATTTAGTATTTATATAAATTACATATTTAACTCAGGGACTGAGATGTAATATATTAAAAATGTAGAAATTGCATATGGGTCCTTGCAACTTATTAAATTCTCAAACTCAAGCTCCTCATACTCAAATCATTTTCTAGATTCTTCCATCAACCCGTCGACCAACGCGACCCGAGGCCGACATCCAAATCTCCTCCGCCGTGGTTCTTCCTCCCTCTCCATCACCAAGGCCGTTGAAAGCCGCGACGCCAGATAACGGTGGTGACTCTGTCGTCCGCCACCTCCGCCTCATTCCTCCGCCGTCACGATCGAAACGCCGGCGATAGCCTGCTCCTTATGCCGACCAATGTCTGGTGTACGCCGCTCCCGACGTCGTGACGCTGCCGTCCTCGGCCACCTCAAAACAACTACGCTTTATTGTATTGTGGTGGGTCCCACATATTGGGTTGGTGTATACAAAATTACACAACTACCCTTAGATGCTCAAATTTGACCAATAAATGTCAAGTTACTTATATATTGTCATTAATGATTGACCTTTATTTATTAAAATATGACTTGATCGTGGTCATTGATGAGATTGATCTAATAGTCCAAGATCATTCTTCTTTGTGCTTTATTTCCGGACCGATTCAAGACCTTCAAACTGCGGCCCATAATTCGGTTCCGACCAACCTGTCTCGTGTAAAACGTAATCCAAGAGAACAACGATTCCCATTGAGCCGACCAGTAAATTATATTCTTGTTTGGGAAATATATGAATGTTGGACCAACTTAAAACTACTTTAAGCCAAAAAAAAATAATAATAATAAAAAAAAAAAACAAATATTGATTGTGAATTGCTGTCTTGAAAGTGAAAACCATTTAAATTTCCTATTTTAATTATTGATAGCACCACTGATATTATAGAGGGTACGTTTATGATTGTGAAAACATTAATTTTATTTCAGAGCCATCGTGGTCACAATGAATTTCACGTAATGGGCATGTCTGTGAGGTTTTTTAACTACATTAAAAAATAAAAAAATTAAATGGATAAAAATAAAAAGAAAAAATAAGGTGTGGACCAAAATCAAAAGCATGTATTTTGATAATACATTTTTATTTAAAAAAACGTATTTTCAAAATACGTTTTACAGTGTAAAACGTATTCCGACAATATATTTTAGTGTAAAAACGTATTCACATAATACGTTTTAAAAAAAAAATAATAAATAAAACATATTTTAATTATACGTTTTACAAATAATTAAGAATTAAACAAATAATTAAAAACTAAAACGTATTATTCTAATACGTTTTATTTCTTAATTATTTATAATAGAATATAATATAGCCACATAAGGATAACCCGGTCCAGAGGCTCCTTACTCAACCAGCGAACCACTCGGACTACTCGCATGTCGACATGACTCCGTCGACATGTCCAAATCGACTTCCCTAAGGTCGATTCTACTGAGAGCAATCAAGAAGAGGCAGAAATTGGTCTAGTCGACTCTCGCAAGTCGACCTTAGTCTATTTCACTAGTCGGCATCAATGAAAGAGGAACAGCAAGAGTATAGCGCCCAAGCATCCCGATATCCTAAGTCGACTCTCAGCAGTCGACTGAACTAAGACGACTCTCTGAAGACGACTTCGCCTCGAAGAATTAGTCAAGCGTAGCCTCCAAATCCGCACATATCCACGAGTCGACCTCCTAGCTCTCGAGGTCGACCTCGCATACCTCGAATAACAAAGACGTGATGACGACTCATCACACTTACAACATACTTGAAGTTCTACACATTACGAAGGATAAGAAGGAATCTGTTGATGACTCAGCAACAAGGGGAGACGAATCGACCAGGGCATTTTGGACCTTCTAGGTCCACCGACTTGGGCATTCTGGGTACTTCAGGTAAATACTCACTCCTATATAAAGGAGATGAGGTAACCCTAAACCTTAACTCTCTGATTCATTCCCACTCTCCCCTATAGCTGTTGCGCAGCCTCTCTTCATCACTCTGATACTGACTTGAGCGTCGGAGGCTCTACGCCGGAACACCTCCGGCGTTGAGTTTTTGCAGGAATCTCGCGGTCTAGCAACGGTTGGGAAGCGGTTCAAGCAGATCTGAGCTCACAACCACCGGTTTACTCCAGATCTGGAAGTAGACCCATCATTTGGCGTCGTCTGTGGGGAGTTCTTGAAGGAAGGAAGAGCTTCACACCCAGCTCCGATCTGTTTGCTGATGGCGGAGAAGGAGGGCTTGCAGAGGAACTTGAGCGAGGAATTTAGAGGGACGTGGATGGACAAGAGGCCACCACCGCTCTCCACCACCAAACACCCGTAACGCAGATGATGGGGATGCCACCATTTGGAGGACTTCCACCACCAGGACTGACGTTGGGCGGGGAAACACCTGTAACTCCAACCGGCGTGAAGCTGCAAGTGTTGACCCAGGCAGGAACAAGTCAAAACCCTAACCCAGATGGAGAGAAGGAGCCAACGGAGGTGTCTCGACGCGAGGGAAAACAGATACAAGAGGTACCGGAACAGACACAACCTCGCGTCGAGGAACAGACTTTAACAATAACGAGGAGTGAAATGCAAAAGATGATTGCTGAAGCCGTGGCTGCCCAGATGAAGCAGATAGCGCAGGCCGAGCAGCAGCCTCGAGTCGAGTGCCCACCCCGGGACGAGCACCAGCCCCGTGTCGAGTACCCCCCTCGAGTTGAGCAGCAGCCGCGTGGCGAGCAACAAGCACAGTCGAATATACAACAGAACAGAAGGGTAGACGAAGAGGAATCCTCCGTTCGAACTGTTAATCCACAGGCGAGGAACGAGACGTTAGAGCAACTACTGGCACAGGTTCGCGACTTGCAAGCTCGAGTCGATGGGAGGAAGAGCAGAGGAGCAAAAGAACACCCATTCTCGCAGCAGATCCTAAGAGCCGACTTACCCAAAGGCTTCAGGGAGTTGAACATATGGTATGACGGTACCACAGACCCATCTCGACATCTGAGGAGTTTCGAAAATATGGCAGTACTGCATCGCTACAGCGACCACATGCAATGTCGCGCTTTCTTGACGACTCTGACAGGGTCGGCTCAGGACTAGTTTCATCAATTACCGGCTGGGTCAATTAGGGATTTTGACGGTTTCAGCTCGAGCTTCCTTAACCAATTCGCAAGTGTGAGGGTGCAAGAGAAACTCGTTGATTAGCATGCAACAGAAGAAAGGCGAGTCGTTGCGGGAGTATGTGGCAAGATTTACCAAGGCGTGCGTCGAATGCCCAACAGCGACAGAGGAAATCAAATCGGGAGGACTGACGAGGGGATTACTACCAGGGTTGTGTAAAAACTCTTTGGCCAAGCGACCTGGTAGGAGTTTCGATGACGTATTGGGAAGGTGTGCCAAATACATGAATGTCGAGGAGGCCGAAGCCGACTACTTGCAAAGTGTGAAGATGTCTCAAACCGATAATTGAGACGACAAGAAGGAAAAGAAGGGCCAATCGACAGGGGATAGAAGGGGATCCCCGAGGGCTGATAGGGGTGAAGGCAGATCTAGGGGATGGAGACCAACTCAGTATACACCCCTGTCGGCTCCCCACGCAAGAATTCTGGAAGTTATAGAGAGGGAAATCTGCGACGACGTGGTGAGATGGCCGCGAACGAGGAAGGACAGACCCATAAAGCCCAAAAGCAACTTGTACTGTTGATTTCACAAAGATTACGGGCACAACACTGACGATTGTCGACACTTGAAGGACGAGATTGAAAGGTTGATAAAGGCAGGCCACCTGAAGGAGTTCATATACAAAGATCGGGAGAGGTCGAGTAGGAGACGAGAAAGGAGCAAGAGTCCTCGCAAGAGGGCGAGATCACCAGACAAGGAGGAACTCCCACCAAAAAGAGGGGTCATTAACATGATTTTCGGCGGATCGACTGATGGAGATTCCAATCGGGCAAGAAAGGCCTATGCTCGAGGCCGATATGCGAAAGTCGAGGTGCAGCAGGTCGACGAGAGTGGACCGGTAATGAACTTTGGACCGGCGGACGTTGGTGAAGTCGAAAGGCCGCATAACGACGCCTTGATGATAACGGCGCAGATATCGGGATACGAGGTGCAAAAGGTGTTTGTCGACACCGGGAGTTCCGTGAACGTAATTTTCTATGAATGCCTCAGGAGGATGGAGCTTGACATTGAATTTACACCCCTACACACATCACTCTTCGGATTCAACGGCTCGGAAGTCGCTCCCCTAGGAGAACCTATGCTTGTTGTCGTCCTGGGGGAAGGCGACTTGAGGAAGGTAAAGATGGTGAGATTTGTGGTGGTCAATGTCGAGTCGGCTTATAACGTAATCCTAGGGAGACCAGCGCTCAATGCATTTCAAGCAGTCGTATCGACCTATCACATGAAGCTGAAGTTTCCCGTAGGAGATCGAGTGGGAGAGGCTCGAGGAGATCAAAAGTTGTCGAGAACATGTTATCAGATTGCAGCCAAAACCAATCAACGAGCTGAGGTAAGAGAAGGCAAGAGACCGATGACAAGTGAAAAAAGGCCGAGAGGGAATGACCTCGAGCCTCATGTGGAATTGATGGAAATTCAAATCGGAGAATCAAAGGCCAAACCACCAAAGTCGGGAGAGAGTTGGAGGACGAGTTGCGAGAACAGTTGGTGGGATTGCTGAAAGAATTTAGGGACATATTCGCTTTCTCGCCTGAGGAATTCACGGGAATCGACCCAGAGGTTATGGAACACAAACTCAATGTCGACCCCCTCAGAAAACCTGTGAAGCAACGACTCAGGCACCATGGCGCTGAAATCGACAAAGCAATCGAAGTCGAGGTGGATAAGTTGCTGAAGACCAAACATATCAAGGAGATCCAATTCCCCGAATGGATATCTAACACAGTTATGGTGAGGAAGGCATTAAACAAATGGCGTATGTGCATCGACTTTCGGGACTTGAACTTGGCATGCCCTAAAGATCATTATCCTTTGCCTAGGATCGACCAGCTAGTCGACTCCACAGCTGGTTGCGAAATGTTAAGCATGATGGACGCATCGCAAGGATACCACCAAATCCCCCTGGCCCCGGAGGATCAAAGTAAAGTGAGTTTTGTGACGAGCAAGGGAACATATTGCTATGTCGTCATGCCTTTCGGCCTAAAGAATGCAGGAGCAACATACCAGCGATTGATAGATCGAATGTTCAAACCTTAGATCGGTCAGAATATGGAAGTGTACGTCGATGATATCTTGGTGAAGAGAAAGTCCTCGACTTCACACCCAGATGATCTA